ATTTTATCCTTTTCTACAAGTATGTGCCTTTTGGTACGCACTTTTTCCTTTGAGTCAAAAAAATTGTTGTTCTTATGTCAGTTCACTCCAGTACCATTCAAATTTTTAGTTTTGGTGTCATTTTTTTTAATGTATCACTGGATAACACGTAAATAATAAAATGCTAATAATTTTTTTTTTCATTCTGAGAGGCACACAAATCAATCACAAATCAATCGTAAATTGTCTAGGCTGAGGTTATTCATTTGCGGTATGCAGGATCAGCGCTTGGATATCATTCAGTAAAAACCATTTCAAAGTACCAATGTTCTTGCTCTGTTATATTGTTTGCTGTTCTTGCACAGTTGAAAACTTCCAGTTATACATTGCATCTGGAGACACACAATTTATAAGATTTGCAGTCCTTTTTCAAAGCTTCACCTTTTGTTCAAAATATGCATGAAGTTTAAAACCTTAACCCTGCTGAATCCAACAGGATCCAACTATATCATATACCCGTTGGAGCCTGTTGGATTGAGCAGTAAACCCCTGGTACAAATGTACATATTTAGAGTCAGATTCTGTTGGGTACTGATAAAAAACACCAAGTTGGACTCTGTTGGATCCAGCAGACAACTAAATATTAGGCACAGTTGGATTCTGTTGGATTGAGCAGTATATATCCAGTATATAAGATGTACCAGTAGGGCTTACATCGAAATGGCACCCACACACAAACTTTTGAAATCAGAGTAAAAAACAACACCAGTTAGTGCAAGGAAATTTGTGTCCTCGCAGATTTTTTCAGAACGTACTCTGAAAACAATTTCATTAAAAAGCGCATGCATAATATTGTCTTGATATTCTGTGCTGGAAAGGCAGGCATCTATTTCACTTAGACCAAGAAACCCAAGCATCAGCTTTGATTCGCCTAAAGCAACTTAACATGGGATTCAGCTTAGACCTGCACAGGCACCGTCATCTCAACGAGAGACCCACGGGCTCCAAAATGGAATCAGTGACTGGGTTGTGTTCCGATCATGCTTGGGTTTAATATCCTTAGCTCGTGTCCCGTTAGGTTATATGGAAATGAGTAAACTGCTCTGAGGGCTGTAAGCCTAGGCCAAAGCGTTAGGGTATACCATGGAGAAAGGACCTTCCTGCATGGGTATACTAGGAGTTTGGTAGGGTGGGGAGGAGGGGGGGGGGGAGGGGGCATGAAGAAGGTATGATGGTATGACTGTGACGTACGTGTGCGAAGGGAGAATTTACATGTGACGCTTGGTTTGTGCATTGATTGGGCCGTGGATTTGGGGGAATGCGCAGGGACGTTTTGATTGGGAACGGTGAAGCGTTTCTCTTGCACTACATGTTTTTATTAGGTAATATGCAGGTTACGTGTGGTCTAGCGGTGGAGCACAGGATTCATGATCGTGAGGTTGTGGGTTTGAGCCCTTTCGTGGCCATGCGTGTTGTGCCCTTGAGTAAGGCGCTTTACCTCAATTACTCCTCTCAACCCAGGTGTTAAATGGGTACCGGCATTATTCAATGCTGGGAAGGTAACAGACTCGCTGTGGAGGAGGTGTGGCGATCCCCCACAGCAGCATATGAGTCTGACCCAATCGCTAAACGAAAGAGAGATGGGCACTCCGTTCCTGTGAACACAGGTTTGTCCCTTTACTGTTACGGCAAAGCACAATTCCAAAGGAAGCTTAGCACAAGTTTCTCCCATACCGGTAGTCAGCATAACTTTCATGCTTACTATTAAGCAACACTGTGAAACTGGCCCCGTACTCTTCACCAAAAGTGAACAGCACTTTCTTTTTTAAAATTAAAGTCAAAGAGTTTTTTAGAATTCTGAACTGCTTTCAGAATCGTAGACACGTAATCTTATTTTTCATGAAACTGAATCCCAAATGTTTATTTATCATAGCCTACATTTCTTCATCCTGCGTAAAAAAAAATGTAATAAATAAAAATTGTCTTTACTCTTTTCCCGTCACAATTGTTGCTGAAACCATGCCTCGATGCGTCCCTCAGGAAATGTAATAAGAATCCCCGGGTTAATTCCTTTTCACCTTGAATCTGCAAAAATGCCTACGATCAGCATGTTGAATAATTCACAAGCTGCGATGAATGGTAAAAGCAACAAAAAAAAACCCTACTTATATCTAAATTACACATGGCTTGAAATTAGCCGTCCTTAGATTCCCAAGTACTAGGATACAGGCTTCATGCACCAGCGCTGGCGGAATACTGGAGCGTTATATCGGCATATGGCTAATTCATGTGTGCTATTATGACAAGATAACGAAGCCAGGGTCAGAGACATGTGGCTTGGAGGTATCAGTAGAGAGCATAAGTGTCGGTTTACATTGGCGGAAATCAGGGAATTGACGCTCAGAGAGGTGGGCTGAAACGGCCGAAGACGGTGAATCTTAGAGTTCTTTGTGACTGGTTTGGAGATTCAATAATCCTTTTACTAGTGATTTTTTTTTAGACTGCAGGATTGGCAGTATTTGTTGTTTTAAGAATACAAAGGAGTATCAAACCTTCTCCCAACTTTCTCTTGACATTTTGATACTCAAAATAACCTTTTTTTGTGGTTTCAAAGGACGTCACGTGAATGAGTGGGCTGTACATAAACTGAACTGGGCATTCAACTCCGTACTTGCGAACTCGTGCATTGTGTGAAAGAAAATTGAACTTTGAACAGAAAAGGAAAAATCCTTGCCCCGAACTCGGGCATCGTGTGAAGAAAAATTGAACTTTGAAAAGAAGAGGAAAAATCCTTGCCCCTAACTGGAAGGAATTGTGTGAAGAAAAATTGAAGTTTGAAAGGAGGAGGTAAAATCCTTGCCCCGAACTTGGGCATTGTGTGAAGGAAAATTGAACTTTGAAAGGAAGAGGAAAAATCCTTGCCCAGAACTCTGGGTATTACATGTACATGAAGGAAAATTGAACTTTGAAAGGAAGAGGTAAAATCCTTGCCCCGAACTTTGGGCATTGTGTGAAGGAAAATTGAACTTTGAAAGGAGGAGGTAAAATCCTTGCCCTGAACTCCAGGTTTTACATGAAGGAAAATTGAACTTTGAAAGGAAGAAGAAAAATCCTTGCCCAGAACTCGGGGAATTGTGTGAAGAAAAACTGAACTTTGCAAGGGAACAGGAAAAATTCTTACCCCAAACTCGAAAGCATTGTTTGAAGGAAAATTGAATTTTGAAAGAAAGAGGAAAAATCCTTGCCCCAATCTTGAATAAATTGTGTGAAGGAATATTGTACTTTGAAAGGAAGAGGAAAAATCTTGCCCATGCAGAACTCGGGAATTGTGTGAAGGAAAATTGAATTTTGGAAGGAAGAGGAAAAATCCTAACCCCACACTCGGGGTATTACGTGAAGGAAAATTGAACTTTGAAAGGAAAAGGAAAAATCCTTGCCACAAACTCGGGCATCGTGTGAAGGAAAATTGAACTTTGAAAGGAAGAGGACCAATCCTTGCCCCAAACCCCCCTAAAATCACCTTTGCCATTCGACAGCTTAAACAACCCCCGTCTCTTTAATTATAATGCCTACGAGCACTTCGTTTACAGGAGTCGCCGCCGTTCTGCAATTAAATGCGTTGACCCCGTTTCAATGCAGCAATTTGGCCTCGTTAAGTCACAGGTGCTGATTCTTAAGCGTCCTAATTGTTTGGCAACATTTGGTTAGAGGGATGTGTTTGTTGCCCTTCCCTCTGCATTCTTTTGTACGGTTTAGGTTTTAGAAGGAAAAAATCAATGAATTGGCTTGTTATTATTAAAGTCCAATGATTGAATTAGCTTTGTAGTTCTGGGTTCCTGACAAGTGCATTGCTTAGAGGCCCTGTCTGCCTGTATAGGAACTTGCACATGTTATAGTGTGCACCTTACTTGCAAGGCATTTTGTTACTTCATTATCCCACAGTTAAAGTAAGCCGGGCTAAAATTTCTGTGCCTTGCAGTCACCGTTCCGTGCTGATAGTGCTAGCAATAGGAATACGCTGCGAACTCTGAATCACCCAAATCTCGGGTATAGGATGTAGGAATGGACTTAAAGGGAATGTACATCATTGGCTTTTGCTGTAATTTTCAGAAATGGAGTATTTGAGGGGTTAGTATAATAGATCAAATGTTGTTACACTGACATGTTTGAAGTTTTATGTTCGAAAATGCTGGAAAAACCAAGAAAAACAAAATTGTTCAAGTAGTCTGGTTCCCTGACTCCACTAAAGATGAAATGGATCAATTTATAGTTGCCAGAAAATTGTAAGGTAAGGGAACCAGTCTCTAGAGCTGGCCTGCACCCGTTCATGAACATGTAACCAATACCAAACAAAATTTGGACTGAAAAAAGGTAAATTTGGAGCAGTAGTTGAAATATAGTTAGGTTTTTCCAACGATGGTCGGCCGACCATCGTTGGAAATGTATACAAAAATACCATTTTCTTGAAAATGACTTCACACCAGGTGCCATAATTTTACAGGATGCTTTAGACTCTCATTTACCAACATCCTAATAAGGTATTTCTTAAAATCTTGGTAGTTTTATTTTTCGATGTTTGCAAATGTTGTTTATTCCCTTTAAGCTAAAAGTTTCTTGCTAACTGACGAGAGTACCAGTCACAGGCAATTGACGCTTCATGACATTCTTGGCTGGTAACCACTTTCTGCTTGGCAAGTATTTGCTGTGTATGCTAACCAATTTCCGTTTGACCCCAGGCCATTCCAAGTCAGCGCGTATCGCAACATTTGGATGGAATTTTTGGCAGGTGGATTTTTTTTAGGTGGTCGAGTTGCCAGGTGGTAAGAAGTCTTTACTAGTAGGTTGTGGATTTGAGGCCCCGTCAGAGTGAGCTTGGGAATATTTTCTCGCAAGCCTGTAAATATTTTCTCGCAAGCCTAGACAACTTTGAGAATGCAGTACTGATATGAAACTCTGTCGGTGAGGAATGCAACCCAAAATTAAATTAATTTTGTTGATGTTGTTTTTATTTCTTGATCCAGGGTGGACAAGAAGAGAGACAAGATGGAGAGGAAAGTGCTGGACAGTCAGGAGAGGGCATTCTGGGATGTGCATCGGCCGGTACCGGGCTGCGTCAACACCACAGAGATGGACATCAAGAAACTCAGTCGGATCAATCGCACATGCAAGAAGAAAAAGGTAAGTGCGGCTTAGTGACTGCTCATTCAGTGGTTGACTGGTGACGTAACTTACGCCTGTGTACTAAGGCCAAAAAAAAAATTCTTCTGTTTCTGGTATGCGCGCGCGTCGCCGTAGCCATGCACGTCGGCAAAAAAGGTTATTTTTCAATGAAAGATGATGTCTCAAACCGCCAAACTCACTGGTTTGACTGGAATCCTGCTGCTGCACAATTTTAACGTGTTTTTAGATTGGGTTATGGTCGAGAATAAGCTTTATGTGGCCTCTCTGGACTCCCATATATTTGAACTACCGTAAGTTTAGTCGGGCACCATTTGCAGTCATCAGCCGACATTTGAAGCAAAAAATCAGGTAAAAAAAAAAAAAAAAAGCCGCGTCGCCGCACCACTTTTTGGACAAGCTCCATACCAGAAACCAGAAACTTTTGGGGGGGGGGGCCTAATAGTAGCAAGGGAACGCCTCTAGTCAAACGCCGGTCAAAATGTCAATACGAATCATCTTAAACCTGGCTCCCCATTGTGCCTTATATGATGCGCACGGCTGTTGGTAACCAGTAATGGAAGCGTATCCCGTGGTCCGGTTCCAAATAGTCGACTAGAGTGGTTCAACCATCCTTTCATACATGTACGAGCAAGGTTAGTTAAAGTATGGATAACTATGCTTCACGCCCGAACTGGAAGCAGACAAAGCAATATCTGCTGAAATCTGAGACCAATTTCATGGCATTTTATTAATAATTATCGGGGGAAAATGTCAACTATTATATAGTATACAAATATTGAGTGGCTCAGCGTGGAATGGGAGGAATATTATCGCAAGGTAAAATCTGGACTTTTCCATTTCACGAGGCGAAGCCGAGTGAACTGGAAAAGTCCAGATTTTACCGAGCAATAATATTCCTCCCATTTCACAATTAAAAGCCACTCAATATTTGTTTTATATAACTGACATATAGATCCTTGTCATTTGATATATATGAACTTTTTTCAATACAAAACTGGAGGAAAATGTATTTCTCTCTTCCAAACCACCCCTTCACGAAAATGTTTGAACCCAACGATGTAGCGCTGGCTCTTTGGAACAATACGCGCTACGCGCAACGCTGAAAGCGCACACCAGCATGCATTTGCACACAAATACCGCGTCATGATCCTAACTGTTGAATAGTATTTCCCATTCCCCATGGGCGGATAATACTTTTTTGAGCCGCGGCATGAATGGGAGCAATAACGAATGCCACGTGATGTGAGTTCCACCAATCAAATGACAAGGATCTGTATGTCAGTTATATAATTGTAAATAGTTGCATAATGTAAATACAGAGGAGCTGCAGAAGTCTTCATGAAAAAAAAATCTTTATAAATCAGAAGGAAAATATTTGAAAAATCACTCTTGCATTCTGTTCTTGTCTTTTTTCATCCATGGCCGTATATTCTGTCATGGCGTGGATGACATCACGCCAGCTTTTGAAGCCAGCCCCTTACAAGATTACTGTCACAGTCCCCTCAGAGAGTCGGCTTAATGCGGCATAAATTAGCTTATCTGGCGCCTGATGTGTGGACTTCTCTATTTGCATTTCGTTTTCCACCTCAGCGGTTTTTGACTTCGCCGAGTTCGTTGCACTTGCCGAGTTTGCAGCACGCCCATGATTTGGTGGGGGTTTTTTCTTCAGGGAAATTGCGGCGTTTAATTATTTGGGACGGTGATAGTTGCAGTATGGACTCGGTGCAGGAGCAAGAGTTTTAGGTGGAGCTGTGTTGCCTGCTCATGAGAACCACTCGTGCAGGTCACTTGAGCTTGTAAACACCGGCATTCGTGGACCTAGGACAAAAGGGTTAGGGCACAAACAATACGGGTACGTCCACGATTGACCGAACGTCCATGATTGAAATTCGTGTACAAAACCAATGAGAGCTGTTGCTAAAACGTACAAACAAAGGAATGAGGAAGAGCGACTGTAGGGGGTCCACGATTGCCGGTTTTAACAAACATGGGTGTGCGTGTGGTGTGTTTGCTCACAGATTTTTTGCGCATTGAGTGTTGTCTCGCGTATTGCGTAGAGTGCACTCAAATAGCTCTCATGTGTATTTAGTCTGGTTATACGAACGATGACCCAAATTTATTCCCTTATTTTGTTCAGATTCAACAGTTTTCCTTGACTCGTCCCTTGCGGTTTGTGCGCAAAAACTAGGCTCAGGTTCTCTGGGTTATTGTTTTTCTACTTAGGTAACTCTTTTTCCGAGTCCTCAGCTGTAAACAATAACCGGTACATTCTTGAGTCTGTCACTTCTCTCTCATTGTCAGCGACTGTCGACGGGGTTACATGTGCGCTAGAAATGATGTCTTTCATTGCAGGAAGATCAAAAGTAATTTCTTTTTCGTTTCTTTTCTTGACTGTTTCAACCACAAACTACCGCTGTGTCAGGATCTCAAGTTTATGGCAGTTGGAATCTGAAATTTGTGGCTGCAAATTGACAGAGCATTAGTTAGCAAACGCCTCAGTCAAAAGTATCCAGATTAAAATTGTCTATTATAAATAAGTGAAATTTGAAGGGCATTAAATCTTCAATTTGGCTTCCAGGCAGATGTTTGGTCCACCCACTAAACTCCACCCAAAACTGCCCATGCATGCACTCTCAAAAATCTCCAGTAGCTTTCCCCTCCCCCCTCTCAACATTTTTGCGCACTGATGTACTGCCAGGGTGCTGTCACAACATCGTCTGTCATTAATCATCGTCCATGGTCAAGTTTGTTTGCATTCCTAGCCGTCAAGCCATTAGTTACCGATGGCCTTCAACTGATAAATGATGCGCTCATAACTGGTCCCCCCCCCAACTGTGTTTAGCTTGAGCTTGCAATAAATCCTCATTGAAAACAGTCGGTAGCCTTGCTAGTAGCAACCTTTACAGGTTTCCACCTTTTCTTTGCCTTTATTTTTGGTCTTAGCTTTGGTGACTAGTAAATTATCTGGAATAACTCAGAGGGCACTTTGAAACATCTGATAGTTATGATACCAATTTTTGTTCAAAGGGTGATTTCTTGCTTTGTGATGAACAGAATTGCTTTCATTGCACACTCGGTGTTTGTTGAGAGGGGCTATGTCTTGAAGCAGCTCTGTTGGATTCAAATTTGCCGTTGGTACACTGTTTGGACTTCGTTGTGCAACATTAAATTTGTAAATGATTATTGCAATATTTTCTGCCTAAGAAGCCAAGGGTTTCTCAAAAGTGCACAGCGTGGAAAGCATGAAGAATCTGAGGGAGAGAAGATGATGAAGAAGCACAGTTTTTTTGGAAGTGGGAGAACCCTGGAATGATACTGCACATCTTCCATGGACGAAAACAAAACATGGAATCAGGCTGGCACTGAAGACCCATTCCACATGTTCGCACAGTCGTCTCTAGAGGACGGGCTGTGTGGGGGTTGACAACCCCCTCCCCCCAACCCCTATTAATCGTTTTTGTCAGCAAAATTGTTTTCCAGTCAGCCAAATCGTGTGTCCTTCGGCAAATTTGCTGGGGTCGAAGAGTGCCACCTATTGTCCGATAGTATCCATGGTAGTCCGCTTTGAACAGCGCCCACTATAGGAACATGGTGTCCAGGCGCCCCCGACCCCGTCCAACAGCTTTTAAATTGGCGTGGGGTGCATTTCCGGTAAAACAACATCCTGTCTACCTTTTTTGCACGGATGGTCTGTCGGCAAATTTGTTGTCACACATCCCCTCACATCCCCCCCTCCCCATTCAAAGTGGGCTGGCAATATCCACCTTAGGTGAGATTCGAACTGGAGTCCCCAAGCAGGAAGGCAAAGAAAGCGCTACTGGGCCAACCTCAGTCCCCCGCGACAACATGCAACAGCATTTTGTCCATTTTGGTGAAGCGTCAAGTGGACAGTAATGCAGGCGGCTGTACCTCTTTAATAATAGGAGTGGGAGGGGGGGAATGGCCACATTCTTCAGCTGGCTCTAATCTTATAAATGCCCTCGGACTGTCAGCGTGTTTATTCTAGGTTAAGTTCGGCAGATACACTGGGCACTGCGTTTTGCGCCGTTTAAGTGAAGAAGGCCAGAGATGGGCAGAGAGATAGAGAGAAAGAGTGCGATGGGCTGGGAGTGTTGGTTTTACTTGCATGGATGATGGCTCTAATCCCCTAGATCTGTAGATAGTTATATTCCTCATAACAGAGTCCAATAGCACTTGATAAGACAAATTTTTCCACGAAAGTGAGGACCCAGTTAGCAACCTTCATGAATTCTCTAAAATCCACTACTGTGCAAAAAAAAAAAAAAAAATTAAAAAATTACAAAAATAAGAAATTCAAAAAATTATACTGTCTTTTGGGAATCATATCCAATGTAAAGTTATAGGTCCTGGGCAAAACCACAGTAGCTTCTTCAGTTACGCATAATTCATGCTAACCTCTCGCTGGATTTTGGAGGATCTTTGATGCTAAGGGTTAATCGATGACAATGATACAGAGGGCTGCCTCTGTCTTTACATACATGAAACACATTAACCCTAACACCCACTGAGTTTTACTAAGAACAGTATCATGCCTGCCAAAATCCATCACTGATGGCTCTGCTTCACATAATGCTTCAGGACCAAATCTGCTAAAATCCACCACTACTATAGGTGAATTTTGATGGACTTGGTGCACACGGCTTATCGGCCTAAATTCCCCCCAAATAGGGGTTGGATTTTGATAGAGTCAGGAAGGTTAAGGTTAAGACATATAATTCTTAAGCCTCATTTATATTTTGGGCAATTCCATGGTAACTCGGGGGTCTTCCGTCAACTGTGTGCTGTTATTCTATGAAGTCGAAGCATTGAAGGTGGATTTCTCGCACAGAAGATCCCTTGAAGTTAAATGACTAAACTACTAAAAAGAGGCCAACAAAATAAATTTCTGTTGGTTTGGCAATAATTTTTTATATATTGTAAGTCGCACTACAAAAATAATGGCATGGCAAAAATTAAAATACCCTGTATTTGAAAGT